TGAGGTGACAACTATCTCCAAAATGGGTTACTATGCTGTCAACCATTCAAATGGGCCCCTAGTAGAGAAAAACCTGGTGATCCTACCCTGGAAGGACCTGGTTCATAGGCTTCCTGTAATGGAGTGACAGCTGTCTCCAGATGGGTTCCTGCGCTGTCACCCAATCACACGATCCCCTAGTGGAGAAAAACCTGGTGATCTTGCCATTGAAAGACCTGGTTCCCAGGCTTCCTGTAATGGGGTGACAGCTGTCTCCAGACAGGTTCCTGCACTGTCACCCAATCACATGGTCCCTAGTGATGAGAAACACCTGGTAATCCTGCCATGAAGGGCCTTGTTCAGCTATTTCCTGTAATGAGGTGACAACTATCTCCAAAATGAGTTTCTACGCTGTCACCCAATCACATGAGACCCTAGTGGAGAAAAACCTGGTGATCCAGCCGTTGAAAGACCTGGTTCATAGGCTTCCTGTAATGGGGTGACAGCTGTCTCCAGATGGGTTCCTGCGCTGTCACCCAATCACAGGAGTCTTTAGCGATGAGAAACACCTGGTAATCCTGCCATGAAGGGCCTTGTTCAGGCATTTCCTGTAATGAGGTGACAACTATCTCCAAAATGGGTTACTATACTGTCAACCATTCAAATGGGCCCCTAGTAGAGAAAAACCTGGTGATCCCGCCTTTGAAGGACCTGGTTCATAGGCTTCCCATAATGGGGTGACAACTTTCTCCAAAATGGGTTCCTGTGCTGTCACCCAATCACATGACCCCTAGTGGAGAAAAACCTGGATATCCTGCTCTTGAAGGACCTGGTTCATAGGGGTGACAGCTGTCTCCAAATTGGGTTCCTGCGCTGTCACCCAATCACATAATCCCCTAGTGGAGAAAAACCTGGTGATCTTGCCATTGAAAGACCTGGTTCACAATCTTCCTGTAATGGGGTGACAGCTGTCTCCAGACAGGTTCCTGCACTGTCACCCAATCACATGAGTCCCTAGTGATGAGAAACACCTGGTAATCCTGCCATGAAGGGCCTTGTTCAGCTATTTCCTGTAATGAGGTGACAACTATCTCCAAAATGAGTTTCTACGCTGTCACCCAATCACGAGACCCTAGTGGAGAAAATCCTGGTGATCCTGCCCTTGAAGGACCTGGTTCATAGGCTTCCTGTAATGGGGTGACAACTGTCTCCAAAATGGGTTCCTGCGCTGTCAGCCAATCACGAGTCCCTACTGGAGAAAAACCTGGTGATCCTGCCCTGAAAGACCTGGTTCATAGGCTTCCTGTAATGGGGTGACAGCTGTCTCCAAAATGGGTTCCTGCGGTGTCACCCAATCACATGAGCCCCTAGTGGAGAAAAACCTGGTGATCCTGCCCTTGAAGGACCTGGTTCATAGGTTTCCTGCAATGGGGTGACAACTGTCTCCAAAATGGGTTCCTGAGCCCCTAGTAGAGAAAAACCCGGCGATCCTGCCCTTGAACGATCTGGTTCATAGGTTTCCTGTAATGGGGTGACAGTTGCCTCCAGATGGGTTCCTACGCTGTCACACAATTACGAGCTCCTAGTGATGAGAAACACCTGGTGATCCTGCCATGAAGGGCCTTGTTCAGGCATTTGCTGTAATGAGGTGACAACTGTCTCCAAAATGGGTTACTACGCTGTTACCCAATCACATGGGCCCCTAGTAGAGAAAACCTTGGTGATCCTGCTCTCCATTTCAATGGACTGTCATAAGCGCAAAAAAAACACGGCAAAGTGGCTCATGCACCTTTTTGAGCTTTGCGTGTTTTTTAATGGCGTGCTTTGCCACGTTTGTTGCACTTTTTTTGCACAAAGCTGTGTCTGTTTGGCTTTTTTTGGGGGGACATATTCAATGAGGTTGGGATGACATCTGTGCCAAGTGTGTTGTGCAGTTTTATGTTCATGTGTGTTGCAGTAGGCAGCTCATTCAAATGATGCTCATGGCATCTATAGCACACCAAAGAAGTGTATGACCATTTGTTTCAAATCGGGCAGCAGTGAAACTCATGGTACTTTGTATTTCTTTCTTATTCATACTATATTTATTTTTTGTTATTGTTTTTTTTCTCTTGTATTTCAGCATTATTATTCAGTGTCTCCTGTCTTCTTCCTGTTTTCAAATCACTCTATTATCATATATACACACCTGATTCTTTTTTCACCATTGATGCATATATACACCATATTGCCAAAATATTGGTCGCCCACCTTTCCACACACATGAACGTTAATGGCATCCCAGTCTTAGTCTGTAGGGTTCAATATTGAGTTGGCCCCGCCCTTTGCAGATATAACAGCTTCAACTCTTCTGGGAAGGCCGTCCACAAGGTTTAGGAGGGTGTCTATGGGAAGGTTTGACCATTCTTCCAGAAGAGCATTTGTGAGGTCAGGCACTGATGACCTGGATCGCAGTCTCCGCTCTAATTCATCCCAAAGGTGTTCTATTGGGTTGAGGTCAGGACTCTGTGCAGGCCAGTCAAGTTCCTCCACCCCAAACTCGCTCATCCATGTCTTTATGGACCTTGCTTTGTGCACTGGTGCGCAGTCATGTTGGAACAGGAAGGGGCCATCCCCAAACTATTCCCACAAAGTTGGGAGCATAAAATTGTTCAAAATATCTTGGTATGCTGACGCCTTAGGAGTTCCCTTCACTGGAACTAAGAGGCCAAGCAAAACCCCTGAAAAACAACCCCACACCATAATCCCCCCTCCACCAAACGTTACACGTAGCACAATGCAGTCAGGCAAGTACCGTTCTCCTGGCAACCGCCAAACCCAAGCACGTCCATCGGATTGCCAGAGAAGCGTGATTGGTCACTCCAGTGAACATTTGCCCACTGCTCTAGAGCCCAGTGGCGGCGTGCTTTACACCACTGCATCCAACACTTTGCATTGCACTTGGTGATGTAAGGCTTGGATGCAACCCGCTCGGCCATGGAAACCCATTCCATGAAGCTCTCTACGCACTGTTGTTGTGCTAATCTGAAAGCCACATGAAGTTTGGAGGTCTTTAGCTATTGACTCTGCAGACAGTTGGCGACTTCTGCGCACTGTGCGCTTCAGCATGCGCTGCTCTCGCTGTCATTTTACGTGGCCTACTACTTCATGGCTGAGTTGCTGTTGTTCCCAGTTGCTTCCACTTTGTTATAATCCCACTAACAGTTGACCGTGGAATATTTAGTAGCCAGGAAATGCCACGGATGGACTTATTGCACAGGTGACAACCTATCACGGTACCACGCTTGGAGTCACTGAGCTCCTGAGGGGCGACCCATTCTATGCCTAGGGGCTTGATGTTATACAGCTGTGGCCATGGAGGTGATTGGAACACCTGAATCCAATGATTTGGAGGGCGGGGCCAATACTTTTGGCAATATAGTGTATGTAACTATGTAAATGAGATGGGAACATTTTCATTTAGTTGCATAATAATTCTGCACACTAATAGTTGCCCAATAATTGTGCACAGATAGATATTCTCCTAAGAAAGTTAAAACCTCACTTTTGCTTTCTTAACTAATCAGGTTTGAGGTTTATTAACATTTTGGATTGATTGAGAGCACTGTAGTTGTTCAATAATTAAATGAATCCTCAAAAATACAACTTGCCTAATAATTGTGCACACAGTGTATATGTAGTAAAGCATGCTTGTTATACTCACTGTGGAACCTAAGGGGTTAATCCTCCACATTGTGTAAATAGACTGTTTGATCCTGTCTTCTCTAATGCTCCCCTTCTTCCACAGTCCCCAATCCATCTGCTGATAGTACAGAACCCTAGGAGTCACTCTGCACATGCTCAGTTTAGTGTCTGGCTAGAGAGGTTTTTTAGGAGTGTGCATGTGATTGGCGCAGGGCATTTAGTTTATGTTTACTAAAATCAATGCATTTCCATGTTCTGTGTACTGTGGGAGACCGTGTTCAACATTTACAAACTGGAGCTGAATTGTACTTTACCCGCTTCCCGCCTGCAATATAAGGTACTGATGGGATGGCGGCGGTTCTCTCATTCTGGGAGGACATCATATGACGTTCTCCCACTCTAACTACGTGTACGTGCCCTCAGGAGTGAGCGCAATCGGCAGTACAACAATGCAAATCCCGGGATGTTATTACAAATTAGTAGAACAGGGTAAGGTCGGGGGCTAGGAGAGTAGGTTCTTCATCCTTTCATCATGGCTGTCTTCCTGGACGAGGAAGGAGCAGAAGACTGTCAGCCTAATTTACCAGACTATCTCCACTGCCTTGCAGCAACTAATAAGACCTGAACTGAAACGTCATTTTGTGGTATAGGTGTAAACCTGATTGGCTGCGGTGAGGCGATTCAGACATTTCTGATGTAAGATAATCTGAGAAATACAATTCTGATATATGTGCGTTTATAACAAGATAAAGCATCGTATCTGAATTCGGGATGTAAATCATTATTTTCTAAGTAGGAAAAACACTTAACATTGTCCATCACACCTCCCATTTAATCACAGTTTTATTTTGCTGCTACCCAATGCGCTTATTACCAGCCCTAAAACCTGCTGGACCTAAACAAGCTGGACAGTCCTATAATGATCCTTTAATTAAAGAAGGTGATACTCCTGGAAGTGGAAGAAGCCGGGACATGTCCACCATTAGAGAAATGAATCATATTCAGTGTCCACATACAGTTATCCTGGATCTCCATGATTTTTCATCTCAAACATTTACAATGTCCAAAAAACAGGAAGGAGGCTACTTACAAATCTTCAAATAAAAATTTAACGGTTACAAATATGACTCGTCACTGGAGTGGATCGTATTAAAGTGCCGTAGAAAAAGAGAAGATGGACTTGGAGTGGGGGATATGTGGAGTAAAAACCGCCTGGACCGAAGGGAGTGTTTACAGGGGATGGATGACGAATGGCTCAGCGGCCTCTCTGATGGATGATGTGCTGTGGATGGCTATAAGGCCTTACAGCTGGCGAGTCAGAAAGACGCTCCCAGGCTTCACACGCTGATTAACCAGAGAAAGAAGAAGGCAGCAATGATGAGGAAGAGAGAGTCGGGTAACCCAAACATCCTGCCCTGGGGGAGGCCAGTATCTACAAATGAGGAGAGACCAAGGAATATGATTAATCAATCAACAATCTGAGACTGGAACTCATCTACAACTGAGGAATAGTCTGTCCTTCTTAGCAACAAATCAGCTTCTCCCTTTAAAGTGTCATTAAACCCATATAAAAAAAAAACCACTATCAATAAATTCTGTATTACATGCTGTTCATACTCACTATGGGATTCGTTTTCTGCAGAAAAAAAAAAAACTGGTTGACCCTGCTGTTTTCTATCTCCCCCTTCTGCCCGTGTCCCCAATGCAGTTGGGGATTTTGCAGAGCAGTGTTGGCAGCTCTGCATATGCTCAGTTTTCAGTGAGTTTCTATGCAGAGCATTTCCTCCCTATCACATCGGAGCAGTCCATGTAAATACAGTCACACATGTGGGCAAATATACAGTGGTAAATGAAAGCCCACTCCCTCCCTCCTCCTCCATGTCCCCAAACAAGCTAAAAACACAATAGGGGTGGGATATTACATCTTTATTGATCAAGGCTTCACCTCCATCTTATTCTAAGGCTGGCCATACACTATACAATTTTCTGTTCAATTTCTGACCAATTTCCTTTAGATTTACCTTCTGCAGGGCCTGCCTAATTGGATACAATTGAAAGTGTTGTTCAGGTTTGACCTCCCATTATATGGTTTTTGGTAAATCTAAACCAATTTTCTAAAGAAAAAATTGTATAATGTATGGCCAGCCTAAGACACAGACTAGAGGGGCATGATACAGTCTATGACTGGCAGACGTCCGCCCACACCATGTCATTGCCAAAAAATAATAAAGATTTGATATCAAATATACAGTGCTCAGCATAAATGAGTACCCTTTTTGAAAAGTAAGATTTTAATCAATATCTCAATGAACACAAGAACAAATTCCAAAATTTTGACAAAACTGAGTTTTATAGAACATTTGTTCGGCTCATTACATGACAATAAGGTTAATAATATAACTTAGATTACAAAATCTTCAGTTTTACTCAAATTAGTTGATCCAAAAATGAATCCATCCCACAACAAAAACCACTCCATCTAGAATTTTGTATGACCTCCATGATTTGTAAGGACAGCACCAAGTCTTCTAGGCATGGAATGAACAAGTTGGCAACATATTGCAACATTTATATTTTCCCATTCTTTAAGAATGACCTCTTAGAGCCTGGATGCTGGATGGAGAGTGATGCTCAACTTGTCTCTTCAGAATTCCCCATAGGTGTTCGATTTGGTTCAGATCAGGAGACTCGGCCACTGGATCACTTTCACCCTGTTCTTCATCAGAAATGCAGCAGTAGCCTTAGATGTGTGTATTGGATCATTGTCATGTTGGAAAAGTGCACAACGACCAAGGGCACATACAAGAACAAGAGCAGTACATCTGTGAATTCATGATACCATCAATGAAATGCAGCTCCTCGACATCAGCAGCACTCATGCAGCCCCACGGAAGGACACTGCCACCACCATGTTTCACTGTAGGCACCATGCATTTTTATTTGTACTCCTCACCTTTGCGACGCCATATAGTTTTGAAGCCATCAGTTCCAGAAACATTTATCTTGGTCTCAGAGTACAGAGTCCCAGTAGTCGTCTTCTTTTTCAGCAAGGGCCCTGGCAAATTCCAGGTGGGCTTTTTTGTGCATGGGCTTCAGGAGAGGCTTCCTTCGTGAACACCACCACCACGCATGCCATTCCTCTGCAGTGTACGCCGTATTGTGTCACGGGAAACAATCACCCCATCTTGGCTTTCTACTTCTTTAGCCAACTGCAGTGAACTTGCACGGCTATTTTTTTTTAACCCTCCTCAACAAAAGACGCTCCTATCGAGCTGTTAACTTCCATGGATGGCCTAAACGTCTCTGTGAGATGGTTGCAGTTCCTTCTTTGTTAAATTTCTGTATCACTTTTGCTACAGTATTCTGACTGATAAGTAAAGCTTTGCTGATCTCTTTGTAGCCTTCACCTTTCTTTTGTAATGAAATTATTTTCTTCCTGGGGCCTTGTCACATTTCTCTTCCATGTGGTGCCATTGCTGACACCATGAAATGGGAGGCGTTTTCTTTGTTAGGTAACGCCCTTTTATAGTCACCTGTCTGCTGGACACCTGTTTAATGAATAATTAGACTCACCTGTAGTTGAATTTTTGTTAATTAGAATTTTGTTATCTAAAATTTAGCTTTGCTCCTAAGACGTTCAGTGGGGTGTATTCATTTTTGCAACATGGTTTTGAATGAATTTGTTAGGAAAAATACTTTTTTGTGTTTGCAAATTAACAAATCTTGTTTGCAATCAATGGCCCGCATTTGTGGGAGTACTTTGTAGTATAGTGTCCTATAGAAAATGTGGATTCTGAAAGGAAAGTAAAGGTTTTGTGACAATTCTGTTGGGGTGTACTCATTTATGCTGAGCACTGTATATTTGTATGACAATTTTAAAAAGTTTTTTGATAATAAATTATTTTATCTGTATTCCAAAGGCGGTTTTTTGTTTTTTTTAAATTTTGAACATGTGACCAGCAGCAGAGGGCTAGAAGCTCCTCTTGCTTACATTTCCCTGCAGACAGGCTGGGAAACAGCTGGGTCATGTGACAGCTGTATATTCATAAGGAAAAAGGTACTCAGATTAAATACAGTATTCAGTATATATAAAATAATTACAGTGCCATCATCCACATACAGAAATAGAAGGGACAACGTAAATTAAACAGTGTGTGTTTAGTATCACTTTCCTGTAGCTTAGGGCAGGTGATAACATCTATGGCAGACTTTGCTCCCCTTCTTCATTAAGAAATGAAGTCATATCACAGCATGAAACATGTTTTGAGTACTGTAAAGCCCCATTCACATGGGGCGTACTACAGTGTACACCCGTGTGAGCGCCATGTTTACCTGTAGGGGGATGCACAGATGTTTCATGCATCCTCATGCAGGCAGTCCAATTTATGTCTGTTGGGATGCAGTGGCTGCATAGACACAGCCGCTGCTCCTAATTAGATATATAAGCAGGCGCACAGCTCAGAATGCAGAAAGTGTGAGTCTGGGGGCATGCACCTGCACCCACAAGCATGTCAAATTGGGAGTGGCGGCTATGTCCATGCAGCCGCTGCATCCCAATTGACCTCAATGGGACTGCCTGCACGAGAATGCACAGAAGACCTGTGCATCCCTGTGAAGGTAAACACGGCCTCTCACAGACGTATGCTGTAGTACTTCCTATATGAATGAGGTTTTACAGATGAACAAAGTTGTTGAAGCCCTTGATCATATTATAGCTGAAGAATCACTTTCTGGATGCAGAGGTTTGCAATGGACGACGTTTGTCAGCTACCAACAGACCCTAGGAGTGTGCAAGTTGTGATACGTACTGCGCAGCACACATGAAATATTAAAAGGGAAAGTTCATAATTAATTTAAAAAAAAAAAAAAAATTGTACTGTCTGTAGGATGTTAACCTAGCCTGAATTTTTTGGACGATTCCTACTGAATTAGTTGAAATTCAAGCCATGGGTGGCCCTGTTGGCACTAGACTTAACAAAAGATTTCAAAAACAAAAGAACCAGGTGCATATATTGTCCTAGCTCTCTGCTGATTGGAGAGCTCAGACCTCTACAGAGAGACCACTGCTTCCTCACAGAGTCTCTCTACATCATGCTGGCACAGGCTGCTTTACTCAGGCTGCTGCTGTTTTCTAAAGAAAATGAGCTGTAAAAATTTGCACATCTTTTGTTTTGATGCACCTGAATGAGGGAAATCAATGCTTGTATGGCTCGCTTTACTGTTCTCAGAGCTCTTAATTCCCCCTGCGCCAATCAAAGAATTGACAGCAGTCTGCACATAAAGAGCAGCAGTGTTTGTACAGCAGTCTGACATACCGTCTGTCGGCAGTGGCTTAGCTGCACATTTACTTACCTACACGTGGTGCTGACTGGAAGTCATTAGTGTTAAAGACTGTAGTAAAAAAGCCAAAAGGGAATGCTCCGATGCCAAAAGACATGTGGAAGCCGGTGTCTGTGAACCCTGGAACACCCTGTGTACAAAGAATATTACACTGTTGTCATGCTGGTGTCATCACAATGCATTTAAAACAAGAAGCTGCAGAGTCTGCTATCCAGGAAAGAGACAAGATACCCCCTTCGAGGAATACCAGGGCTTTTTATACACAGCAAAGTCACTCCCTATTCTGACTGTGGTAGGACTATGGAGAAAACTGGGACCAGGGGCAGACTGACCATTTGGAAACTCGGGCACTGCCTGAGGGCCCGGGGTCAGTAGGGGGCCCCATGAGATGCCCCTGGTACCTTTCTCACAGGCTTTTTTGAGTTTGCACAAGGACACAGGGGCCCCATGATCCTCTATTGCCTGGAGGCCCCATAAGTTGTCAGTCCGCCCCTGATTGGGACTTCTAATTCCAACAAAGGTCACCAAAAGCTACTCTATGCAGAAGAGACTAGTGCAGTTATGTTTTTTTTGTTTTATTTTTTTAACTCCAAAATGCATTTCACAGTAACAACAGCGCCACCTTATGTCTACAAGCAGGTATTAATTCTTTATCTACAGCAGTGGTTCTCAACCTTTCTAATGCCGCGACCCTTTAATACAGTTCCTCATGTTGTGGTGACCCCCAACAATAAAATTATTTACCCAGTAATTATAATTCATGAAGTGTCGTTTTACCTCCAATACTGCTGCTTTCAACACAGTAGCTGCTTTTAACAGAGTAGCTGCTTTCAACACATCGGAACGATGTGTTTTCCGATGGTCTTAGGCGACTCCTGTGAAAGGGTCGTTCAGCCCCCAAAGGGGTCGCGACCCACAGGTTGAGAACCACTGATCTACAGGAATAAGGGTCCATGCACATTGGCTTAAAAAAAAAAAAAAAAAAGCTGCTTTTTGAGGAGTTTTGTGTTTTGCCTGTCGAAGCAGCTCAGTGCTATCCTATGAGTCCATGCACATTAGGATGTTTACAGACAAGAGCATTTTAAGCTCAGCGTTTACAGGCAGGAAAAAATAAAAAAAAAACCTTTTGGTTTGTGATTTTGAGTTATTTGACAGAAAAAAAAAAATAAAAATACACTAAATGCTCCTAAACACATGTACAAAAATGCTCTATATGAGCATTTTTTTTAAGCCCAGTGTGCATGAGCCCTAAGGGCACTTAAACTATAGCATTTTCATGTGAAAGATTCAGAATAATTTTAGAACGTGAAGGAAATACTGGTCCACACTCAGCGAGGACTCGTTACAAATTAAGAAATATAGACTTAAAACACAAACTACAATTTAAAAACTCAATAAGGTTAATTTTCTACCACAAAAACCTACCCCTCTGTTCTCTGGTTCCGGTCTCTGTCCTTGAGGTCTTGGGGGAGTCCTCAACCTGAAAACAGAATAAAGAGTGACAACTTGTCACAATACAAAGTTTTATATTAGTAAAAAGACTAGGCTTACAGGGAAAGAGGCAGCAGCCCCTTCCTTGTCTGTGTCACCCTGCAGGAGGGGGAGAGACTCATAGCTCCCTTCTGTCTGTGTCACCGTGCAGGAGGGGGAGAGACTCATAGCTCCCTTCTGTCTGTGTCACCCTGCAGGAGGAGGAGACTCACAGCTCCCTTGTCTGTGTCACCCTGCAGGAGGAGGGGCAGACTCATAGTTCCCTTCTGTCTGTGTCACCCTGCAGGAGGAGGAGACTCACAGCTCCCTTGTCTGTGTCACCCTGCAGGAGGAGGACAGACTCCTAGCTCCCTTCTGTCTGTGTCACCCTGCAGGAGGAGGAGCAGACTCATAGCACCTCTCTGTAACCCTGTAAGAGGAGGAGAGACTCACAGCTCCCTTCTGTCTGTGTCACCCTGCAGGAGAACAGGCTCACAGCCCCTTGTCTGTGTTACCCTACACTTGGAGAACAGACTCCTAGCCCGCCCCCTTTCTGTCTGTGTCACCCTGCAGGAGGACAGGCTCATAACTCCCTTCTGCTGTGTCAGCTTGCAGGAGGACAGACTCATAGCTCCCTTCTATCCCGGTCACCCTGCAGGAGGAGGACAGACTCATAGCTCCCTTCTATCCCGGTCACCCTGCAGGAGGAGGACAGACTCATAGCTCCCTTCTATCCCGGTCACCATGCAGGAGGAGGGGCAGACTCCTAGCTCTCTTCTGCCTGTGTCATCCTGCAGGAGGAGGGGAAGACTCCTAGCTGTCCTCTGCCTGTGTCACCCTGCAGGAGGAGGGGCAGACCCCTAGCTCTCCTCTGCCTGTGTCCCCCTGCAGGAGGAGGGGCAGACTCCTAGCTCTCCTCTGCCTGTGTCACCCTGCAGGAGGAGGACAGACTCCTAGCTCTCCTCTGCCTGTGTCATCCAGCAGGAGGAGGTGCAGACTCCTAGCTCTCCTCTGCCTGTGTCATCCAGCAGGAGGAGGTGCAGACTCCTAGCTCTCCTCTGCCTGTGTCACCCTGCAGGAGGAGGGGCAGACCCCTAGCTCTCTTCTACCTGTGTCACCCTGCAGGAGGAGGGGCAAACCCCTAGCTCTCTTCTGCCTGTGTCACCCTGCAGGAGGAGGGGCAAACCCCTAGCTCTCTTCTGCCTGTGTCACCCTGCAGGAGGAGGGGAAAACCCCTAGCTCTCCTCTGCCTGTGTCACCCTGCAGGAGGAGGGGCAAACCCCTAGCTCTCTTCTGCCTGTGTCACCCTGCAGGAGGAGGGGCAGACTCCTAGCTCCCCTCTGCCTGTGTCACCCTGCAGGAGGAGGGGCAGACTCCTAGCTCTCTTTTGCCTGTGTCACCCTGCAGGAGGAGGGGCAGACCCCTAGCTCTCTTCTGCCTGTGTCACCCTGCAGGAGGAGGGGCAGACTCCTAGCTCTCTTTTGCCTGTGTCACCCTGCAGGAGGAGGGGCAGACCCCTAGCTCTCTTCTGCCTGTGTCACCTGGGGTCTTGCTGGTTGGTGTCTCCTCTGCCATATATTGGTATGACATTCTCTCGACTGATGCCTGCTTTACACACAGGGCACTCCTGTCGCTCTGGTCGCGTTTCAAACCACTAAAAGCAAGAAAAACAAATAGAGAGACATCAGAGATAATACATTGGAACATTTACAAAAAGAGTTTCTAAAGATTCCAGTGTTTTGAAAAGGGGTAAAAGTTCATCTTCTCAGTGTTGGTGTGGCAGTGTATGAAATCATGTCATGACTTGGTTTCCCAGGACTTGTGTAATATTATTCTCTAACACAGTAACCTTTTCCACACACCTCTCTGGTTAGAATAAAACACAAACAGAACCCAACAAAGGTATTAATTCTTTATCTACAGCAGTGGTTCTCAACCTTTCTAATGCCGCGACCCTTTAATACAGTTCCTCATGTTGTGGGACACCATGAGGATCTCCTTATATAAAATATCACGGGGGGCCTCCCTCTATGGAGACGATAGGAGTGGGGTCTTTGAGCCTGGACACGAGGTGTCCTCCATCTCTGCTATACCAGATGAGGGCCACCTTCCATGGGACACCATGGGGACCTCTTTTTATATAATATATCACGGGGGCCTCCCTCTATGGAGACAATAGGAGTGGGGTCTGTCAGCCTGGACACGAGGTGTCCTCCATCTCCGCTAGACCAGACGAGGGCCACCTTCCATGGGACACCATGGGGACCTCCTTATATAAAATATCACGGGGGGCCTCCCTCTATGGAGACGACAGGAGTGGGGTCTGGGAATCTGGACACGAGGTGTCCTCCATCTCTGCTATACCAGACGAGGGCCACCTTCCATGGGACACCATGGGGACCTCCTTATATAAAATATCACGGGGGCCTCCCTCTATGGAGACGATAGGAGTGGGGTCTGTGAGCCTGGACACAAGGTGTCCTCCATCTCTGCTAGACCAGACGAGGGCCACCTTCCATGGGACACCATGAGGACCTCCTTATATAAAATATCACGGGGGGCCTCCCTCTATGGAGACGACAGGAGTGGGGTCTGTGAGCCTGGGCACGAGGTGTCCTCCATCTCTGCTATACCAGATGAGGGCCACCTTCCATGGGACACCATGAGGACCTCCTTATATAAAATATCACGGGGGGGCTCCCTCTATGGAGACGACAGGAGTGGGGTCTGTGAGCCTGGGCACGAGGTGTCCTCCATCTCTGCTATACCAGATGAGGGCCACCTTCCATGGGACACCAGGGGGACCTCCTTAAGTAAAATATTTCTAGGGGGCCTCCCTCTCTGGAGATGACAGGAGTGGGGTCTGTGAGCCTGGAAACCATGCGTCTTTTCTTACTTAACAACGTATGCTAGTATGAGATTCATAGCACAACGCTACCGAAACATTTCAGGCTCCATTCACACGTCATGATTTGGAATCACGGATAGAATTGCTATGATTGCAAATCGCATGGTAATCACTGCACAATGCGCGTTTGAGTGCTATTATCCTTCAGGCTGCATTTAAAGTTTGCGTAGCGGGAATAAGTATTTCTGCTTGTCATTCTGGTTGAGCGATTTGCACGCATCACACATAGGTCAGCTCATTCTCTTCATAGGCTGCCCTAATGCACGTTTGGTGCCCGAAAAGAAGCACTTTTCTGCATCAAGCTTTGTGCGGTTTTCCACAATTGACGCATTATGCTGTCATGCGACAGGGTCACATTCCACTTTGGGTACCATTAAAGTCGCACATTGTGCAGTGACTGTCATGCGATTTGAAATCACGGACAGAATTGCGGTAATTCTGCCCGCGATCCCAAATTGTGAATGGAGCCTAAATGGCACCCCAAGTGCAATGCAAATTGACTCGTAACAGGATCACACGGCAAAATGCCCTTTCAAATTCGCATGAAACTTGTCGCCCAAAAAGGAGCTGGAGCTACTTTTTGGGCAACAAACATGCTTGGGCACCCCATAAAGTGAATGGGCTGCCCTCTGTGACACGCAAAATCACATGCAAATCATTCAATCAAAATTGCGATTGGGAACTCTTGTTCGCGCTACGCGAAAGTGTGAATTCAGCCTATTTAACATTCATGATTTTGGTGTCTAACCCAGCAGAAAAGGACATGCTGCATTTAGAAAAAATGAACACGATGCATGACAAAACCCTACAAATACAAGTCAGCACAGCTCCATACAAGCCTATTCCAAATTCAAACCCTACATTCCAGAGCCTTCAGAAATATTTCACAAATGTATTTCAGCAGCAAAATTCCTGTGTACACTAATCCTTAAATTCACATTTCACCCAGTGCAAGGCCTTTGTATTTGGTGCCTGCACAGTTGTTATGGTGTAACATGACCTTATCCTAAACGCAGACACTAAGTAGTACTTGACGTGGCCGGTCTCTGAGTGCAAGGTGGCTCCATTTACAAGTGTCAACATTGAGGTTTCACAATCCTATAGGAGCCTCCTAACAGATCATTATGAGCTGGGCTCGTCCTTTGAGAACCCAGAAATTAATAGCCTGATATCGAAGACAACTATGTGACCTAAGCCACCCCTGGGCTTATCGGTGTTATGGGACACACAAGTTCATTCTGTAGAACCATAAACATGATTTCCAATCAGATATTACACTGGATGTCATTTAATGCCGACTCAACAAGAACTTATCCAAATAGGTGTTGCTTACCTTAGATTTACACAGCAGATCTGGTCCTAGAATTATTGCTCTCACTCTGACGTTTACAGTGATACTTCACATGTGTGGTGCAATCACAGTTTATATATACACGTGCAGGACCTGGTAGCTGGTAGTTCAGCCACTTCATTTGTTTACATTTATTTACGTTATTTAAATTTGTTTACACCATACATTTAATTTTTTTGATCAGCTTTATTGCTATCACAAGGGGTGAACAACATCACCATAGCATGGGTCGTGACAGGTCCTCTTTATAGAGAAATCTGGGGTCCATATCTCTCCTCTGGCCTCCAAAGCATCTGATCAAACGGAGATCGGTTTAATCAGAAGATGCTTTCACAAGCTGGTAACTGAAACCGGAAGTGACAAAATTCTTGTCATTGCTGGTTTCTGACATCACACAGTGGGAGGAACATTAGTTCCTCTTACTGTGTCGAGGGAAGCCGATGCCACCAACAGGCATCAACAGCGAGGCTCTTTTTTTCCATACATCAGCATCAGAGGTTGGTCATCAGCTCTGAGGAAAGAGATTCGTCCCCGAAACGCATCAGTTATTTGACTGCACTGACAGTGAGAACACCTTGCCCGCCGTTGTGGCCATTGTCATTTTTCTATGCTTTTTAGATACATGCTTCGTCTGTGAGTATGTTTTTATTACTTCATTCCTACAATAAGCCTTGGATAATGCACTAGGTGCGTGCGCCACCTGTTTTCTCTCTATTAGTTCCTCTTACTGTGTCCAGGGAAGCCGATGCCACCAGTTGCGTCCCTACTGGGCTTCCTGATGGGATGGGAGAGCCCAGTAAGGGCAGCACCTTGGGGGGCTGAGGGGGTGGTCGGTAAAAGTGATCCAACTTCTGTAAAGCTGCTCTGATCACTTTTACATAAAAGAGAATCTTTGGCTTTTAAAAAAAAAATGGTACTGGGATCATGGTTGTAGCCTCAACTATGATCCCGGTATAACCACCTCAATGTGAAGCCGTAAATATACCCGTATGAGTATTGAGGTAGTTAAAGTGTATATGTCACTTATACATTTAATTAACACTAAAAGGTCTGATTTTTTTTCCCCCCACAGAACACAGCCTATTAATTCGCCAAGAACTAGAGATTTTACTGTGGCATAAAGCACACATGTGCCTACAGCTGATCATTTAGAACTTGTAGGTTCTCTCATTCTGCCTGCGGGCTTCACAAGAGAAGTCACTCAATTGTCGCATTCATGCTAAATAGCGTTGATTAGGGAAGTGATGGCTGTTGTATTCATATTCATCCACAGACCCCGCAGCTGTCAGAATACCTGAGCTGTGATTGCATCTGATTGGATGAAATCACTGTTTGGCCAACAATTATTCAATGAAATTTGATGAGCTGGGGGGTGCCAACAGGGCCACCCACAACCAGGTCAGCAGAAATCTGCCGAAATTCAAGAAGTATAGCAGCTCTTCACTGACTTGTGCCATATCTATTTGTGGAATGACAATGGCAGATAACTGAAATATGCCACAAAACGTTCCACAAAATATTCCACACATACAGGTAACACTATACCAGCTCATTTTCAAAGTAATTCCTTTATACATTGCCAAGCAAAAAATACATACCTGATGAAGACACGGGCCAGCTGCAAAACAAGACAAACACAATCAGTTTGGAAACAGTGCAATCTAATAATATTACTACTATAATATATAGGAACATGCAGCTGACACTGAGGAACTCAGAGCCAGACAAGTTGCAGGAACCAGGTTATCTCTTCAAAAGATATATCAGATTCTTAGATCTTTGGAGATTGGTTATAGCCAGTGGCAGGCTATGTCCCCTGATGTCCCCTTGGACTCCAGCATGAACAAGCAAATTAGGTTGCCTGAGACCTTTCAGCCTCAGGTAGTCTATCTGCAAGAGATTTGTCAACTGGTAGAGAGATATGGGCAACCAAAGTAAGTGCCAACTGCCCGTGTTGTTTGGTGGAGCACAATTACGATCATGCAATAGAAGATCACACTTTGCTAATGGAGCCCTCACACCATCTTCCGGGGTACCCAACATCTCAAACAGGGTTCCTCTAGAGGTTGCTAGAGGTTCCATGAGAAATTTCTAGCCATTGGATTTAAAAAAAAGAAAAAAAAAAAAAAAAAGACATTGACATCAGTGGTCTTTTTGGATATCTGCAAAAGAGACACTCTTCCCTTTGACCACCAATGTAAGGAGCATTTTTCCCTCTGATCTCCAGTAAAAGAGGCCCTTTTCCCACTCACCATCTATGGAGGCCTTTCTCCCACCAGTGTAATTGGGATACCTTTCCCACTGACCACCAATCTAACCCTGACCATGCACAGATTGAATTTTGGCAGATTCAGCAGGAACTGTCCAAACGTCTTTCCATGGTACCACCCAGCTTGTCAAAAGCCAATTTTTCCATTCAGTTTTTGTCAAAGGAGCTGGGCAGAAAACAGTTTGCAGTACAGTCCCTACATCCAATCAGCTGCAGTAACTGTTCAGGTATTGACAGTCATCGGTTTTGACTGCCAGAGTACAATTGCCAGCACTGCAGATTTATCCATCCATGCTACTTGGCGTGGATGGGGGAATCCAAGTGATCTCTTTCGCTCAGGGAGCAGGGCTGAACAAGGGGAACCTTAAAGTGTTACTAAACTCAGGACCCTGTATCCACTATATCTGGTCTCCCACAGTACACAAAGCATGGAAGTGCAATTATTTTAGTAAATATAAACTGCTAAATACCTTTTCTCATCAGCAGTTAGAGCAGTCTTGTGACTTCTATCAGTGTCCAGCCAAGCACTAGCTAAAGCTTGTAGGAGTTTTCTTTCTGCTCAAGGATGCAAATCCCCTGACCTTTGTCTGGACAGTGCGGATTGGCCCTGTGCTGATCACATGCACTCTCCCAAGAGAAAAAAAAAAAAAACCTCTCAAGCAATATACACCAAATTGAGTATGTGCATCCTACGTTTCAGTCTGGAGATAAGTGGTGGTCGCTTGAAAAAGGAGAGGAACAGAGAAGACGGTGCTGATCACATACACCCTCCTGAAGAAAAAAAAAAAAAAAAAACCTCTCTAGCAATATACACAAAACTGAGCATGTGCAGAGTGTGCCCTAGAGCTCTGTACTATCAGCAGAACGATTGGGGACAGTAGGAGAGAATCAGAGAAGACAGGATCAAACAGAATTTTTACATAATGCAGAGGATTAACCCCCTAGGTTCCACAGTGAGTATAACAAGCATGCTTTGCTGCATTTACAGACTGATTTTACTGCTGTGGGTATAGTAACATTTTAAGTGGCCCTTCTCCAATAACCACTGTAAAGGGGTATTTCTCCACTGGCCACCAAAGTGGAGGAGCACATATTACTTTAAAAGAAATTATGTTTATGGCACAAAAACTGGGTTAACAAAATAGGGAAAAATGGATCCTAAATAGTTTAAGAGTCCAAATAAATGGTCCATATATAATATAGATGTAAAACCAATGTCTTAAAATCACTCCTATGGATGGCTGCAGCACTCTTGGTCATAGTGTAGGATAGATCCTCTGCTGCTGTATACTGCAAAGAAATAAAGGAACAAGGGATGCCACCATCTAAGTGTAGACTTTATTAACCACAAGTAAATAAAAAGATAATATGCACTCACATGCTATAAATGATAAAAAAAAAAAAAGCACATCAAACAGTCCCGCGGGTGTCTGCAGAATTTGCCAGGGAAACAGCCAGGCGTTGCAGAGTAGCGCCTGGAAGCAACAGTGTAGCTTGTGCAGAATTCATCATAGAAGCATTGCCGGGCAATACAGAGGTGTGCAGTAAGCGGCTGACCGTGAAGACGCCAATTAAACCAGCGTGAAATACACCACAATGCTGGACCCCAAAACCAGAAGCGTGATGACGTCAACAAGAGCATGGCTACACATTTTAGGGCTTTGGAACCTTTTTGTTTTTTCTAATGCTTTTTTGGAGGTTTATGAGTGCATATTATCTTTTTATTTACTCATGGTTAATGAAGTCTACACTTAGATGGTGGCGCCTCCTATTCCTTTATCAGGCAGAGAAGCCCTAGGTGTCAAATACTCCACATTTCTAACAATTGAATTTTTTTTTGTCCCAACTTACTGTTCACACTAATGTATGGTGAGCTGTAGATACAGTAATTATTGGAAATGGATCTCTTGAGATGTGATCGGTATTTCAGGGGGTTCCTCTGTGTTAAAAAATGTTGAGAAAGACCATCCTAAAGGGATAGCTAAGAATATAAATAATGGGTATGGATATTGAGGAGGATTCATACAAACATGAATATTGCTATAACAGTGGCTACAATGTAAGCATTCATGTATGGAAGCACTGGGGTCTTGATTTCAATTCTCAGCAGGGCTACAGGGTGCACAGCATTTGTATGTTCAGGAAAATGCTTAGAGCAGAAGGAAACAGACATTATATAGTGGCAATCTCCTTGCTAGCTATGTTGCTGGACATCTACGGGGAGATGGGGGCACCCAGTCTGACCTCATAGTGTTAGGAAGCACCTAGCAACTTGGGACAAAAAAAAAAAAAAAAAAAAAAACTACATGAACTTTGTCCTACAGGGGCAGATCTGTGAGAAACATTAATGAGAGTTCTTAATTACAGGTCAACATCTCTAAAAAGTGAAGTTGTCCAATAAAGGAACCTCCTATTTGGTGAACATACTAAGAGTGTTGGTAGTCCATACAGTTCTCTCTCTCTTCTTTCTATACCTGTCTCCCCCCAACTTCCACTCTAGTAAATTTTTGTGCTTCTTCATCTTGGACACTCCACTAGGATTATCATCTGGCTGGATACTGGTCCACAAGCATTTGAACCCTATCCCTTGCCTTCCTCTGGATCAACTGTGGGTGTAGGATTATAACCTTTTTTTTAATGGTTGAACTGGATGGACTTTTGTCTTTTTTTCAGCCATACTAACTATGTAAAGATCTAAGACTGGAACATCTTCAAACTGATGAGGACATTTCCTGCCACTAACTACCTCTGTGGACCTACCAAGTAGTCATACCATGTACCCCTGTGTTATACTGTACATACATGTCTCACGAGATGTCTTTGGACATCCTGTGCTTAAAATTTTTTTTTTATCTTTTCTTTTATTAAAATAAGACCATTTATGTAAAAAAAAAAAAAAAAGTGTTGGCACGATAAGAAAGCAGCTGCAGGCTTTCACAAAAACTTCAGCACTACTTGACATTTTTTGGAGAGTACACCGAAGTTGTAGCGCCATTATGATCTATTTTTAGAGAGGAATTCTAGGTATGGTATATATTTACATCCAGCTTGGACCACTAGAACTTATATCTATATTCATAGACCATACCTGTGGGATCCCTCTTGAAGCTGGAAATCACTTTAGTAGACTCCGCTACTCCAGTGATCTCCATTAGCTTCCAATTCCTCTGCTCAACACCTGTCCTGCTGCTTTCTGAACGCACTGACTGGTCGAGGTGGAATGGTGGGACGGGATTGGTAGCATCAAACAGAGAATGCTTTGAATTCATTGATAAAATGCAAAGTTTTATCTGAATGGAACCTGCGTTGAGCAGCTGACCCCCTGTGTTCAGAATGCATCAGGTCAGCCACTTAGCATGGGACCCAGAAGCTAGTGGAGATTACTGGAGTAGCAGTAAGTACTACAGAGATTTCCAGCTTCTAGAGCAGTGGTTCTCAACCTGTGGGTCGCGACCCCTTTGGGGGGCGAACGACCCTTTCACAGGGGTCACCTAAGACCATCGGAAAACACATATATTATACTGTGTAGAAAGCAGCTGCTGTGTTGAAAGCAGCTACTGTGTTGAAAGCAGCTACTGTGTTGAAAGCAGCTACTGTGTTGAAAGCAGCTACTGTGTTTGAAAGCAGCTACTGTGTTGAAAGCAGCTACTGTGTTGAAAGCAGCTACTGTGTTGAAAGCAGCTACTGTGTTGAAAGCAGCTACTGTGTTGAAAATTTTCTACTGTGTAGAAAGCAGTAGTATTGGAGGTAAAACGACACTTCATGAATTATAATTACTGGGTAAATAACTATAGGGTTGGGGGTCACCAAAACATGAGGAACTGTATTAAAGGGTCACAACATTAGGAAAGTTGAGAACCACTGTTCTAGAGGGACCCCCACAGGCATGGTATATGCATAGTTACATTGATCCAAGCTGGACCACTGCGACTATATAAAAAACACCATACCTGGAATTCTTCTGTAAAATCTCCATATGGGAGATGAAGGTGCTTTAGTAGTTACTAGACAATTTCTTAAAAGTTGCCAAAAGCTTTGTAAAAACTTGCTGTATATCAGGCTCTCTCAGCCATGGTTCTTCCAGAGGTTGTTAGGGGTTCATTGAGCAATGAGCAATTTCTGCTTCTCACCATTGATCTGTTTAACTATCTGTAAGGAGGAAATTCTTCCCAAATGACAAGTGCAAGGAACATTCTTCTCACTGGCCAGCCGTTGTAGATATAGTCATTTTTTAGCAGAGGTTCCCTGAGACTGGAAGATTATTTCAAGGGTTCCTCTGTGTTAAAAAGGAGCTGTACACACTGGTCCCATACAAGATGAGGGCTGGTGTGTACAAAGCCTGATCCCAA